TGGGGGGGGGGACGGGGGGGGACAGAAGGGAGGGGGAGTACTTTGTGTTGTTATACTTTCTTACTTTAATGCTTTCTTTTGCTTTTATAAGTTTTTTGTCTTTATTGTAAACTGCCCCCTGAACATTTTTTGTGGGGGAAGGACAGCAAATACATCTGAGGAACATTTAGAAATCTTCCATTAAAGTAAATTCAGTGTTTAAAAATTCAAATGGTCAAGTACCTCAAAAACGTGTGTGAAGAAAACCAATCATTTTTATTCTAGTGTCAGCAACAACAGCATCAGCAGCAACCAGCAATCTAACCAAAAGGCTTTGCTGTTTTTAAGAAGATTGAAAAATAAACACAGATAGATATGACCTCAGTAAACCCAAGTGATGATTTAAAATTTGAGTGGCTTAACCAAGATCTTACAAATCCAAGTAACACACTCACCTTTTGCTTCTGAGCCGCCCGATTTTTTTCATCTGAAATCTTTTCTGTGGTGCTTTTGAATAAGTGTGAGGTGAGCTGAATGGACACTTTGGGGTGACCACTAGATGCAGTGGGAATTGGTACAAGTACAGAGTCTTCTCTCTTTAAATCAGGGGCATCATTGCCCATAGAGACCGTTTCAATCACTCGGAGATTGGGGCGCGTTGGGTTTGCTGTCATTGTCATTGTGAGCAACCCGTGAGCCTCTGGCAATGCAGGGCTAGGTTGCTGGGGATGAGGGTACATAGGCCAGCCAGAGGCTGCATAAGCCATATAGTGCCCATAAGCATCGTAGCCAGGAGGGGCCATTGTGGGAGGGGGATAGTTTTGTGGCATCTGAGGCGCACTGAATCGGGGATAGTTGGGAATTTGGTACTGGGAAACAGAGGTGGGGGGAGGTGGCAAACCAGCAGGGGCAGGCGGTGCTGAGGGGATTAGAGGTGCAGTAGGAAGAGGTGCTTCTGGTGTGCCAACAGAGATCTCATGGCCCACAGCTTTGCTTTTAGAGCACTCTGATTTCTGAAGAGAAGATGATGAGGTGTCTGTGGATGGCTGGTAAGGGCCAGGCGGTGATGCACGGCGCTGCTGGCTTGACTCTGGAGACTGCGTGTCACTGCGGTGCATTTCCCATGATTCCAGTCTGCTGCGGGAGTCTGAAGAGCGACGGTCAGGAGAACGAGATGCCAGCTTTTTTCCATGAAGGCGCTCCTGGGTACGGACTGCCAGTTTGCCAATTTCAGCCACCCCAATATCAAGCCCAATAGTTTTAAGCAGATCATGGATCTTTGCATACTCAACCTTGGACTCCTCCAGAGCGTCTAGCTTTACAGGTGGTGGTGGAGGAGGAGGAGGAGGAGGAGGAGGTGGACTTGCTTTCTGGCTGGCAAGTTCACTCCCACTACTCACTGATGGCTTTTCAGCAGGGACCGGTTCAGGTTTGGAATCTTCCTCCTCATCACCATAAAGAAATTTCTCTTCATCCTCAATGTCAGGAAAACTGCGTCTTCTCTTCTCTTGAGCACTGGCAGAATCAGCCATTAAGCCTAGAATGCGGGAGAAACCACTCCCATCCTGACTAGCTCTCTCATGAGGGAGCAGGAAGTCACCATGACGATCTGCAGGCTCTGATTTTGGTTCTGTTTTCTCCTTTTGACTTAAGAAACTTTCAAACTTCTCTTCAAAAGCAAAGGTGTCTTTGGGTTGTGCAGAAAGCGGGCTCCACTCATATAAACCATCACGCAACTCCTGGTTTGGAGTCTCTACTGCAGAGTCTTTGTTAAACCGTTTGATGAAGTTCTCCACATCAGAAGCAAAAGGAGTACTGTTGTTATTCTGGGACAAAGATGAGCGACTTGAAATAAGAGGAAGATCTTTACTGGCTGTAGAATTGTCTGAAAAGTCTTCAGGCTAGAAAAAGAAAAGAATAATTTATCACATCGCACCAAGAGGGGCCTAAACACCATCCAGTGAAAACGAAAAGGGCAAGGTCATTTCTCCTAAAGAGTTTACAGTCAAAAATTTACAATAGCTAAGGGAGGAGCAAAAAAGAGTGTGAAGGTTATGAAGAGAAGACAAGCATGTCACATAGTAATTTCGGCACATCATCAACATGCTTTCACGGGTGTGTGAAACAATCACTTCATATTTGATTACATTTCTCTGCAAATAAAAGAATTGAAACTTTCAACCACAAACAGTTATATGATAGAACTGTCTGCACACCATTGATTGGTCAAGCAAGATGCAATACAGCGTCATGCAGAGAGATCCTTAGCTACCTCAGCACATAGTGATTCCAGATTGTGGAGCAGCAAAACCACATCAACACAGTGGTGCACCCAAGCTAATAAGTCCCTTTCTCAGTTGAGTTATATAAACTGGGTGCAGTGGTATAGTAACACAGATGGAATGCTTTTGGTTCCAGACTGGACTGCATGAGCTACCTTGAGGATGTCTGTGCATGGTCCTGTTTTCTGCCATACAGACATATGCTGAGTTTGAATGCCCTGAAACATAAGAAACTAATGGAAGTGACCACAAAAAGGCTTTGGTAAAAGAGCGCTGCTGCTTCTTGGCTGAACTCCAGAACAGGGGGAAGCCCACAGACTCACCAGTTGTGCCTAGTGGACATATGTTCTACCAAAAGAGAGAAAAACCAAGAGACTAAAGATCAAATAATGCAGTGGAGCAAAAAGTGATGTCTCTGGGAAGTATAAGAGTACATATGAATCAAACCTGTATTGGGGGGGGCTCAACTTCCACCTCCACGCGTTTCTTCAGGATAGACTTTTTGGGCATGGATGGTATTTCATCAGGCCTGTACAAATACTGAGTGTCAGCAGACTGTAATGTGCTAGTTAACCCAGGGATTGCATAGTCACTGTTAGGCAGATCATGATTCAAATTTCTGTTTCGTTCTTCTTCTTCTTTTTTCCTCCTGGCTCGCTCAAGTTCCCGGAATTCTTCATTTGGGCTTCTGCTGCGGCTTCGCCTGCGATAGTTTCGCGTTCCCGATGAGAAACCTTGATGGTCCCCACTCATACTGTGCATTTTCTCATCTTTCTCGTACCGAGGGCGCTTTGTTTCTCTACCTCTCTCTTCTGACCTTGATCGGTAGGAAGGTTTTCTGAGTTTGTCACTATCCCTACTAGATCCCCGTGGCAGCTCTTCACGCCGACCATAGTGTGGGCTGTAATCTGACCGATGCAGGTATACATCCCTGTTACGGTAATCTTCATCATGCCTCATCATGAAAGGACTGGATGGCCGATCTTCATGAGAGGGATAGCGCTCAAGCCCTCGAGAACATGGGAGGCCTCTGGTAAATATTGGACCATCAGCCATGTCATCCCTGTGTGAGAGGCAGAGAAGTAAAATTAGGTCAGAAACTTAGGGTAAAAGTCTCTTGGACTTCCTCAGCAGTAACAAGATTCCAAACTGGTTTCAGACTGCAATACTGAGTTCATGGAATAACCAAAAATCAATACCTCAAATACTCCAGAAAAGGAAGCAAGGTTGATAAAACATTATTAAAACACAGTATTTTTAATGATAATACTTTATTTGTAACTCTTTAAAATATTTACAAATAAACTTAAAATTAAATCATAATTTAAATACAAAACATGTTATGAACTGAACTCTTGAAACATAAAAATAAATAAGCTGACTCCAGGAAGCTCTATGAAAAACCTAAGTTACAGGCTACAACCTTTTCTATATGAAAAATTAGCAGAAAAATACCAAACTTGTGAGGCCAAGCTTTATGAATATGGCACAACAGAACATGCACTGTATTAAAGGCTTGATCCTGTAAGGGATCCAGGAGCTATGCTACCAATACAAGACATGTGTTGGGATCTATCCTGAGTCCAGGAAATGTCATCACTCACATGTTACCTCATCACTGTGCGTTTAAAATATATATATAAATTCTGCCAACTTCAATACCAATTACGACCAAAAAACTTATAATCTAGCTAATAAGTAACATGGCATTCACCCTTCTAGATCATACTAAAAATGTAAAATTAGTTAGAATCTCCATATTAAGCTACAAAATTGCTTAGAATCAATGTACAGTCATAGTGTATCATTCTACACAGAAATAAGATATACCAAATACAGTGTACAGTCTCTACTTAGTTGTAAATCTGAATGTTTTCCTGATGTTATCAAGTAGCAAGAATACATCTTTCTTTAGAAAGTAACTGAAGGACAAATTGGAAGTTGTTAAAATCAATTCCTTAATTGATCCTTTCTACTTGGTAATTTAAATTATTTAAATTTACTGTACAAGTCAATCCACCCTCCAAGGAAGGATATATTTATGGCACTCTACCTCCTGTCTATAAGATGGTTGTCAAGTAAAGCAGTCCCTCCAAACCCATTCTGCAGGAGGACAGCCATGATTTAATCCAGGGAACTGAATACCTGACAGAACAGGTTTCATTTTTTGAAGAAAGCCCAGATACTTGGTTTAAAAAAAGAATACACAATTGGTACTTTTAAGAATGCAGAATAAGCACCCCTGACCAATCAGGTAGTTAGATCGGTGTTTCATGCGAGTTCTTCAGAACAGGTTTCATTTTATACTGAACACATAGGGCCAGAACTTCAGCTTAAAATTTAGCAATGCAGATAAGTACTAGTAGAAGGTCTGGTACATAAATTCTAGCTCAGCTTTTGCAGAGACACAAACAGGGCTGTCACTGAGAATGTTTACCAGTGCACCAAAAAATCCTTTAGAGAAGACTTTGGTAGGACAGTCGATATAGGTAAGAAAATCATTCCTTTACTAGTTTACTTATTTGACTCAAATGACACTTTTCCCAACAAAGGCTCGGGGCAGTTTACAGTAGGAGACAAAATAAATTATAAAAAACTGACAGATTATTAACGTAAGATATAAACAAGAACTCCCTAAACGCTACCCCAGCTTAGCCTTTTTTGCTAAAGTATACCAGCTTCAGTATACATTGCATGTGATAGGTCAGTGTTCGGCACTACCCCAAAACAGCTCCTTTCTCAGCATCAGGATCTGTGAGGACTGGTCTCCACTAATACTTCTGAAGTGCAGAATTCCACACTAGGCCTTTAAATACAGCAAAACCAAGCAGCTAAAGCCTTGAAGTGGCATTCTGCAACTGCTAGCTCAGATGTATATCTATCTCTTCTATCAATTAAATATCCTAAAGTCGTCCCAAGTTTTCCAGCGTTAGAATGACACTCTCAAAAGTATATGCAGCTGATTACTGTACTCAACATCTTGTAAAAATACTGCTTTATTATCCCCTCCTTTGTTAATCAACATCGAAATAAATATAATTATATTTCAGAAAGAGTCTGGGAAGCAAAGTAAGAGAAGCCAGGGACCTTGGAGACTCCAGGAGTCATCATCCCTTCCCCCCCACCACTTCCTTCCCCACCCCACTACCTGATGTAGTTAAGTGTGGTTTAAATTCCTTTTAAACGTTAAAACAAATACTGGTACTGGTCTAAGTTATAGGATATTATTTTATTCAAGTGAAAAGTGAACCCACTCATTAGCTGCAGTGTGAAGAACTTACAGATCCTTTAAAGAAATTCAGGGCTGCTGTTCAAACTTTTTGGATCTCTTTCTTGCAAATGACTTGGTTCAAACCTTTCAGGAGAGGTAACTCTAAACCAGTGATTTTCAAACAGGGTACCAAAACACCTTGGGGTGCCTTAGTATCTTCTCAAGACTATCACAGGGTGCCACGCAATGTTAGTGCTGTTAAGGAGTGCAAGTATGATTCACAAGATCACCCAGAGATTTCAAATAGGAATCCATTCAGGCAACCACCGCTTAGCACTCTTAATTGGCTCTGGAAAAAACAAGCATTAAGCAGAACTGCCTAAAGCAAAACCCATTTCCCCATAGGAATTAATGTAAATAGAGATAATTGGTTACCATTGCCACCACCTCTCCTCACTCCCCCACCAGCAGCTCCAGCCCCACATGCCAGCCTGGGGCCCCGTGCTTCTGCCACCCACCCTGGGCCCCCGCTGGCCCTGGCCCCAGGCACCAGTGTGGGCCCTGCACTCACCCCCCCC